TGAAATTCTTTTTTTTTTTTTTTTTTTTTGATAGAGACAGAGTCTGACTTTATTGCCCTCAGTAGAGTGATGTGGCGTCACAGTTCACAGCAACCTCCATCTCCTGGGCTTAGGCAGTTCTCTTGGGCACTACTGGTGTCTGCCACAACACCCAGCTATTCTTTTGTTATAGTTTGGCAGGGCTGGGTTTGAACCCGCCACCCTTGGTGTATGGGGCTGGTGCCCTACCCATTGAGCCACAGGTACTGCTCATACTTGAAATTATTATTATTATTATTATTTATTATTTTTTTTTTGCCAGGGCCCGGTTTGAATCCTCCAGCTCTGGTATATGGGGTCCGTGCCCTACTCCTTTGAGCCATAGGCACTGCCTGGTACTTGAAGTTCTTTATCAGTCATTTCAGTTTTCTTATTTTGGTTGGTTTCCATTGGTATAGAGTTATTCTTTTGGGGATGTCTTTTCACTTGTGACTTTTCATGTATCCAGAGATCTTTTGCTGATTCCTTCTCATCTGGAACAGCCTTTGGTTCTTTTTTTTTTTTTTTTTTTAATTTTTGTTTTCTCACTGGAGTTTTTAGTGGACCTCTGCTTTCAAATTTTCTCATCTGCATTTGGGAAGCTCATCTTACAGGAGTGAATAAAGTATGATGCAAGCTTCAGAGGCCAAGCTCAGGACCCCATGATGTGTGGCTTCTTTGGGGTAGTTGTAGGTCTCCTGGGACCCAGCCTTTGTCCCAAGGACACTCAGGGCTGGAACAATGCTATGATCTTCCTTTCTGAGCACACCCAGCGCAGAGTTACTACATGGGGCCAAGAAGCCTGTCTCTGGGGTCCAGGCAGGTTTTTCTAGGTCCTTAAGTAAAAAGGATAACAGGGATCTTAATCTGATGTGGGACCAAGACAAAGGAGGCAGTTAGATGTGCCTGTGGAACTGATAGTGACATCTTCCCTCCCCTCTCTGTGGTCACTCAAGGGACAGAGGCAAGACTGTGGTGGGTCAAGTTAGGGTATCATAGGCTAAACTCCAGGGGGGGACAAGAAAGTTAGGGGGCTGACAGAAGAGCCTCAAGCTAGTGATACGTCTACAGTTTTTTATTTTCTATTTTTTTGTAGAGGCAGGATATTGCCAAGTTGCCCAGGCTGGTATCAAACTTCTGGGCTTAAGCAGTTCCCCTCCCTTGACCACCTAAGGTGTTTGGTTTACAGGTGTAAGTAACTAAGCCAGCCAGAGGGATATTTCCAAAACAAGGAGGCTCTATCTCTCCACAGCCTCAATCTAGTTTTTTTTAGGACAGAATTGTATCTGTAGTTGGTTTTTATGTTGGGTAGGCCCTGGTATATTTGGATCTCTTACTCTTCTCTCTCTTTGCCCCAGTACTCCCTCTGCAATGAACCACTGATTGAACTGTGCAACTCTGGAGCTAGTGGTTCCCTCTTCTATGTATCCAGCGATGACGAATTCATCATTAAAACAGTCCAACATAAAGAGGCGGAGTTTCTGCAGAAGCTGCTTCCAGGATACTACATGGTACAGGAGAAAGGAGTACTGGCTGCATTCACTGCCCTTCCTGGACCAGGCTGGCGAGCTGTCTTGGCAGGGCAGCACAATACCAGTGCTTCTGTCTTCAGAATGTAGTTCATTTTTGTGCTTTTACCCCCATCTGCTTTGATTCTCCGTAGTTAAAAGAACTTTTGTTTATCTGTTTTAGTTTAAATATTATTTGGCTTAGACTGTCCTATCTGAGGCAAGATTCAAGATGTTTTTGTTTTCTGTTGTTTGGTTCAATTCCTAGTTTGGGGAAAGGAAGTAAGTTACTTCTCTTGATAGTACTCTATATGGTCTCACTCTGATAGCTCCTGGAGATTTTAGAAAAGTTAGGGAACTCTTTTTTTTTTTTTTGGCGACAAGAGTCTCACTATGTGGCCCTTGGTAGAATGCCGTGGCATCTTAGTTCACAGCAACCTCAAACTCTTGGGCTTAAGCGATTCTCTTGCCTCAGCCTCCCAAGTGCTGAGACTATAGACGCCTGCCATAACACCTGGCTATTTTTTCGTTGTAGTTGTCGTTGTTGTGTAGCAACCCTGGGTTTTAACCCTCCAACTCCAGTGTATGTGGCTGACACCCTAGCCACTGAGTTATAGGCACTGAGCCAGTTAGAGAACTCTCCTTGCCTCCCATAATGCCTCTAAGAATATGTATGATGTTCTCTTAAATATCTCCAAAGAATATATTCATCATAAGTTTGGTATCTGTGGTTCAGCTTGGTGATGATCTCATCATTGAAATAGATGTACTGGGAAATTTTCAACAAATATGATGTGGGTTTATGTGCTAAGAGATTGTGTCTGAATCCCATGTAGGAGACAAAGGGAGGATGGATAACAGCTCTTGTCCTTGTGTTTCACTGAAAAACAGCTAACTTACTCTTTTACAGCTTTTTACTTTTGTGCTTTCAGAACCTTAACCAGAACCCTCGGACTTTGTTGCCTAAATTCTATGGACTATACTGTGTGCAAGCAGGTGGCAAGAACATTCGAATTGTGGTGATGAATAATCTCTTACCACGTTCAATCAAAATGCATATCAAGTATGACCTTAAGGGCTCAACCTACAAACGTCGGGCTTCTCAAAAAGAGCGAGAGAAGCCTCTCCCCACTTTTAAAGACCTGGATTTCTTACAAGACATCCCTGATGGTCTTTTTTTGGATGCTGACATGTACAATGCCCTTTGTAAGACCTTGCAGCGTGACTGTCTGGTGAGTTTGTTGTATTTTCCTTTGAGACATCACAAATCTCAATCACCAGAACAGCTTGGTGGTTCTTAGGTATTAGGTCTGTGGGAGATAGGACTTTACTCCTTAACTCTGTATGTCCCAGGCATTATTTAAAATAATACTAAATGAGCTGATTGCCTTTGCATTTTGTTGACTTTATCTGGGCTTTACATGCTTCTCTAGCTAGACTGTGCCTCATAGTTGAATGTTCTGCTGATTTTCACACCAGCACCATTATTCCTTACTTAAGTCCTGCCTGCCAAATCCAAACTTACATGCTAGAAGCTGAGTGCTGCTGAAGAAGATCATGCAGCTGTGTATTGTGTTTCTACAGATTTATGATATCCATCCCCACCTGCCCATTCGATATTGCTTTTCTGTCCATTTCCTATTGTTATCAGCAAGGATTTCAGATGTTTGACACTTTCTTCAAACCATTTTTGTTTTTTGGGTTTTTGTTTTTTTTTTT